CTATCTATCTATCTATCTATCTATCTATCTATCTATCTATCTATCTATCTATCTACCCTAACATTTTTCAGTCTCTTTTTTCTTCCGTACATATTATCCCTTTCTCCAGTCCTTCATCGTCAATAACAATAAAAGAACAACTTAAAGCCAAAACTCTGCCATATCTCATTTAAATTTACATCGTCAGTTTCCAACCACCATCACCCCTCCCCTTTTATTTTTCTCTCCCCTATTATATCTCTTTCCCCAATCCTTCATCTTTTTTTAGTAAGAGTTTTACGCACTTACAACACAATAAGGTCATATAAGTGCCGAAGATTAGAGGTGTTACAAGTTAGTAACAACAACAAAAAAGAAGGAGTGGAGATAAAGACGTTAGATGTTTGATAGGAAAGAAGGAGCTAACCACACCAGAATACCCGCCAACCACCCACAGCCCTTCATCGTTAAATAACAATAGAACAACAGAACAATAACACCACCCTCAAGAACCCTGCCATACATATCTCATCTACCCCGCCTGCCTCACATTCCCTACTATAAATTGTTCTCCCCCCCCCCCTGTGTGAACTGGCCAGCCATCCAGCCCCGGTGACCACCACAGAGGAGAGGAGCGGCGGGTAGGACGGGCTGACCCTATGGTCGGTGCAAGGGATAACGGTCATAGAATTAGAGCTGGGAGAGAAGGTCCGCCGTACTTATTGTGCTTACTTATTTCTGCTATCGCCTCATTCAAGATTAAGAGAGGCAGAAACAACTGAGGTAAGAGGGAAAGAAAAGAAGTAGGACCTCCTATCAATGAAGCCCTCCAACAACACGCAAAAGTTAATATTATTATAGTGTGTACTCAGCACACAAAGACACACCCATACACGCGCACACACATCACATACCCTCACACACGCTTTCTCTTCCACACTCATATAGGCCTACGCATACACAATTCAATGCTTACACTCACAAACAGATATGCAGTGTGATAGAAATGAGCAATTTTTAACAAAAATAATCTTAAGCTAGATACATAATCCTTTCACAGTGAGCAATGCTAGTTGGATTCAGTTGAACTGAGCGGGGCCAGACAGATTTCGCTCCATGGGGTGAAAAAAAAACTACCGTTTGGGAACAATACGACCGATTTTACATGCGACCATGAAAAACTAACTCGTCTGATTTTGAAGGTGACAGTCGAATGTACGCCAGAATGGTAGCGTAAATTGCCATGGAGGAAAATCTGACTGGCCATGACTCATTGGTTTTTGTTTTTGTAAAGTGTTTACGGCGCTCGCAACTGCATAAGGTCATATGAGCACGCGGGAAACACCTAATATTTTCAGTTAGTAGGAAATTTTGAATTTTGCCCGGGTGGCGGCCGAAGCCTACTCTTATCGATTTTAGACCACCAAGGGATCTTTAACGTGCGCAACTTACACACGGGCCCTCCCAGATTTTTCGCCCTTGTCCGAGAAGCCTAGGTGTAAATCTTTCCTACTAGAAGATCAGGGGTGTGGCAGAAAGACAGCAGTAAGGGGAGGGCCAAGGAGTAGCAGTAGAAAGGCTCCAGAAAGAGTCAGGAGCGCGGAAATGAAAGCAGACAACAGAACATTGCTAGAGAACAGGAAAGGAGGTGATAGGAGACAATTTCAGCGAAGAAAATGTGTCGGTCGCTACCCGGATTCGAACCCGGGACCTTTGAAAGAGAGGCCAACACCTTAACCTCTAGGCCACGAGAGCCCCCCGCCCTGACTCAGTTCAATAGAATCTGACTGGCAGTGTGCACTCGGTATTACTCATGTCACCGCTCTTCTGTGCCCCTCATTGCAAATGATAAAAATGTTTTTAGTAGGGCGTTAAACATATAAAGAAGAAACACAGACCATAAGTGAAATAATCAATGTAGTGCCCACGACGGTAGAAGCAAATGTGTTAACAACAACAACAAAAACAAGGATAACGATGGCGACTAAGTGAATATTGAAAATGCTAGCCTCAGCAACAATTATAACAAACAAGCACTAATACGTTCATTGTTCTTTTTTTTTACTATTTTACTTTTTCCTGTTGTAATTCAATTAACCCTCTCTTACTCTTATTGCAAGACGATAAAAAAAATATTTAAACTTTTATTTTTCCCTAACTTGACCGTCAATAATTTATTTATAGAGGCACCAGCCATCCATCTCCGGGTACTGTTTTAGCCTCTTTCTTTTGTCTGTGGATTGATTAACCCTTTTTTTTCAATTTGGTAATACTTTTATGCACCCTGTACTTATGGTTTTCCTATTGGAATTCGCCTGTAATTTGCTTTAATTGTGTTTAAACCTTGATTTGATTTTTTTTTAAAGGGCGATGACAAAAACAAAAAATATATATACTTTCTTTACTTTTTCCTTCCTCTGGTATCCTTAGGATGTCGAGGGGAGATGCAAGTTTCGGTCCTGTGCTAGATAGGTTGCGTCTATGATAGATATACTTTGTTGTTCGGTGGCCTAGTGGTTAGGCTCTCGGACTCGCAACCGTAAGGTCGTGGGTTCGAATCCCGTCAGGGGTCCGACGTTGTGTCCTTGGGAAAGGCACTTTACACGAATTTTCCTCACTTCACCCAGGTGGGATTGGGTACCCGGCTATAGACAGTGAAAGATCTTGTCAGTTTGTTAGTGTTTGAGCGCTTAATCAGCTGCTTGCACTGTATGCTTCCC